TTTTTCAGTAGGGTATATACTAAAATGGATACTATATACTATATACTAAAATATACTGAAAAGACAAGCAAGATCCCTACGCAAAGTAGGACATATAAATGACATGCAAAAACAATGCATGTTTAACACTATGTGAGATGTATTTTTCTTTTTTTTTTAGAATGTTACTTTTACTAAACCGGAGGGAGGCGAAGCCTCCCCGAACCCCCTTGACCGAGAGCTTCACCCTCTGGATCCTTAGTTCGTATGTAAATGTTTCAATAATGCTAATGTTTCAATAATACTTATGCATGTTTAATACATTTTTAATTCACGCATTGTTTCTATGTGGCACAGAGCACGCGCATGATGCCGCGAGATATGTACATTGGTGTTTATTCACTGAGTCATTTAAGTGTAGATGAACGCGCCTGGAGATGGTACGCTTATCTACACTATTCTACACCGAAAAAGGACTCAATTAATGAACACCAGTGTACATGTCGCTACATATTGTTGGTGTGACAGATTTCCTGACATAACACGCTGTCAACTTTGTTGGTTAATATCTCGCTACTCGGTGCAGAGCGACAATTTAATCAGAGAAAAAAGTTGTTTTTCATGCAAAAACACGTCGATTAAGCCTATTTTTATCGAAATCGGAGGTGAGAAAGCTAAACTGAATAATTACCGTCATTTCTACACACACATAACAGAATCTTATATCTCTGTTAAAAATCATGTACTAATGAATTATAATTTCAACTCCAAATTTTCTATGCATGAAATCGCAAAAGGTTTGAATATTTTTATTAAAATCTAAAGTGAAATCTGTGTGTGAAACTGAATATTTGTTAAAATATTGTGTTTGCTTTTAGTTTTTCTAACTTAATCATTACTATTTTATTTTAAAACATACAATAGAGAATGAAGAATATATTTTTTATATTTTTTATATGAATGTAATTGAATAATAGGATTCATCATATTATGACTACTAAGGAAGAAAGAATCAATCTAACAATTGAAACTAAAACTGAAGAAATACCAGATAATTCAACAAGTGAGGATGCACCAACCAGCTTGGAGACTATTCCTGAAGGAACAACAATACGAAATGAGACTCCAACAATGCAAAAGGATAAGGCAAAGAGTAATTTTACTTAATATATAAGATTTAACATGCACACAATATGTGCTAAAGTTCATATATATCTTTATGAAAAAATAATACTGGAGCTCAATATGATTGAATTTAATAGTACTTTGAGTACTTATGTCTCAGTATTTAAGTACAGAAAAATACTGAGATATAAATATTCAAAGTACTACTCAATTTGACCATCGACTGAGCTCCAGTACTATTTTTTCGTAAGGGTAAGTAGAACTCATCAATCTAAACAAAAAATTCCTTTACCATTTTGTTGCAATAATTATTGAGATATTAATAAGAGAAAATTAGTTGATCAATATTCTCGATATCGTGGGACAATTTCTGTAAGGAAATCTGAAGAGAAGTATTTAAAGCTTTTTTCCTAACCTTTCAACAACCTTTCAACAGATATTGACAAATATATTGCGCTGTTAGTTTGCTTCTCACTGTTAGCCAATATTCATTGTTAAGAAATTGTCAACTACTATATCTCATTATCATCAATATCTCAATAACATTTCTTTAAATTATTCTATAAAACTTGTTCCACTATATTATGAATACTCGTTCATTAATCATATTTAATTAATATCTCCATAATAAATACACCATATGTGAAAAATAATATGACATCTTGTAAATAGAAATCATCAAACTAAAACATAGTTTGATGATTTCTATTTACACTTAAGCATTGGACGTCCTGTAGAAAGAAACAAATATTTTTAAAATATATATATATATATATATATATATATATATATATATATATATATATATATATTTTTATACATAGCATAATGAGAGACAGTGATACTAATCTTTACATACTGATGTATTAATGCATCTATAAAATGAATAGAAGTTTTTTTTTTAGATGAGGGAGGTAGCAGATTTGGTAGGCTTAAAATGGAGTTTTATTTAAAAGGTCCTTTTGTAAGAAAATCATAATTTTATCTACTTGTTCCCAAGATATTAATATATGTAACACTTTATTTACTCTGTATAGAGTATCTGACTTTGTGTAGGAGTGTCTGACACAATATGTACATTCATTCATGTACAGAAGTAAAACTCATAAAACTGAATAAAAAAGTGATTTACTATTTTGCAAACTAATACGATAATTATTTATATATCAATTTTTAAAAATTGTCTAATGAGTATACGTGATACAGTGGAACAAGCTCTGTTTTAGGCAAAGTTTTATCCAAGATATGTTGATTTTGACAATTTCTCGGTAACGTCGGGCAGTGTATCATGTTGATCCGTGGAGGCTTACAGTTATCATGATGGACTAATAAAACTAACTGTTTCTTGTTTAAATCGGAAATCGATAATATGTTTCCTTAGAAACTATAAAATTTTAATATAAAATTTTTTTAATGAAATTCTTAATTTTCGAGATATCGAATGCTGTACTAAAAAGTACAGCATTTTATATACAAGACGTTTCTTTTAACTCAAGTAGAATATTTTTTTTTAAACATAGGAAAGAATCGCAGAAAAGAATTTTTTAATGGGCAAATTTTTCAAATGTTTGTATAAGCGAGAATTGTTTTCTAAGTCATATTTTACAAGACTTCAAAACTACCGATATTTTTTTAAGAGAAACATAATGAAATAAATACGCACTTTAACTTACCCTTCAACAATGACTTTCCTATTCACATATATTATACAACTCACCCTTATGAGTAACATATAACAAATTTTAGGGATCGCTCATTGTTTATTAAAAAGTTATTAATAAAAAAAGTTTTATTAATGCTATATAGTTTTGCAACACTGCATAAATTAATGTGTACATATAAATACGCACAGTATACGTATATGCGCGGGGGAGAGCCCCTCCCCAAAAAACTAACCCTAACTTAATTATTTATTAAAATATTGTAAACCGTACACGTATATGCGCAATCTATCCTTTACAATTTTACACATAATTTATCAATGAAAAACAATATAACAATACAAATGCGGGGGAATACTGCTTGCGATATTTTTTGCACATAGTAGGGGAGACTGGGGCTGAAAGTCACATGGGTCAGTTGTCACAAAGCTTATATTTCACTTAATAAATAGAGGAGAATTTTTACCTTTATAGTGTAGGTTGTTTGTAACATTGTAATTAGTTGTATGAAATGGTTTGTAGCCAAAACATCGCATGTGGTATTTATAAGTATTTTTTGTTAAATCAAATGTGCGAGTAAATTCTTTCTGGTTCTTATTTTTGATGTTTTGTTTGTTTTGGGATTACTAGTCGTAATTTCTCTGTAATCATAAGAAATATACTTTTCGCTAATGGTTTCGATATGCAGTTAATAATTATGGCAACATTGTGTATAAATATAATCTTGTTCAGTCTACATGAACGTTTGGGGTGAATTGACTCACATGCAGTGGGTTTAATTGTCACACATTGCCAGACCTTACGCATGCGCGTGGAAGCACGTGCATCTGATCGCCGCATGTTATTATAGTTAATCTGGTTAAAATAAGAGGTTATATTTACGTTGATTTTCAGTACACCTGAGTTTGCATGGTTTCTGTTGATATAACTGTATATGTATGTGTATATACAGAGTGTTCCTAAAAGGTGGTACCAAATTTTAGGGGTATGTAGTACTCGTTAAAACAAACCAAAAACTCTTAATAAACAGTACTCCGAAAACCTTTTATTTTTGAGTTATGAAGCATTTTGTTCTGTGAAAAATAGAAAATAAATTAAATCTATAATAAATGTTGAATGTGTCTTCGGCTCATGTCAATACACATTTCGGCATGTTTCGTCATTGAAGGTCAAAGAGTCCAGATTTATTTCGTATTTGTTGACAACAGTTTCCAAGTCTCTTAGTCAATTCATTCACAGACGCCCGTATGTGACCACCTAATTATGCAGGGATTGTTGTATTCAACTTTGGATTGTGGACCGTGTCTAGTTTTGTGTTATCTGAAAAATGGCTAATTTTTACACAAATTCTGGTGCTCCTGCCCATTTCCTCGTTAATGTCAGACTGAATTTAAATCCGTTGGATTATTATCTATGGGGACACTTGAAGAGCATGGTATATGCCACACCAGTTGATACAATAGATGAATTGACTCAGATAATTGAAAACTGTTGTCAACAAATATGGAATAAACCCGGAATCTTTGAACGTGTTCGATCTTCAATGAGGAGACGTGCCGAATTGTGTGTTGAAATGGACGGAGGACACATTGAACATTTATTGTAAATTTTAGTTATTTTCTATTTTTCACAGAATAAAATGCTTTATAACTCAGAAATAAAAGGTTTTCGGAGTACTGTTCATTAAGAGTTTTTTATTTGTTTTAACAAGTACTACATACTCCTAAAATTTGGTACCACCTTTTGGGAACACCCTGTATATAAATACAGTTTTCAATCAACAAAATACATGATTACATATCGATACATCCCAGATAATCAAGTGTGATTTAGCATATCAAGCAAACGAATGCACTGCATGTTTTGCTGAATAGTTGATATTTGGTTGCCATCATCATAAGCGATGTGCTATCAAATTTAGCAACATGAGTGGTAATACATGTAAATAGTTGATGAAATTTTAAGAGCAAACAATCAGCAACAATAGTACGGAAGGTTGCAAACAACATGATGGCAACATGACAAGAACTGATGACTTGTCTTTGCGTCAATAGCATTTTGATGGCAACGTGACAACAACAACAGAAATGGAACCTTTTTCAATTTGCTTTGTTTTCATTTGCTTTCAATCGTTGAAGTTTCTAAATTACATGTTTTTGCCGACAAAGTGTGAACGATAAGTAATTTTCATATATTTACAACAATTTGTCAATAACATACACACTGTGCACGAATTTTAAAAATAATTTTTTATTTGTAATTCTTATATATGACTATTATTTGATGTTTGCTATAAGGTATATTATAACATACTGTGAACATTATAAAGATATATTATATAAACGTAAATTATAAGAATATCGTTGGAGCCATTGGGAATCGCCGCGTGCCACTCGATCTTCAGGTTAAGCAACACTTTAACGGGCATGGATGGATGACTGGTGATATATCGCTTGGGATCGAAACTATCGAGGGGAGGATTCACGAAAGTTTGGAGTGTATGTTGACAATCTTCGATATCTAGTGGTTTAAGAGACATGAGAAAATTAGGAATTATAAATATATTTTTAAATATTATGATTTTCTCATTTTTCATCTTCGCACAATAATTCTTAGTATTTGATTACTGTCAATATTTAACAGTGATTTTATTATCAGTATTTACCAGAAATTAAGCACTGGCCAAAAATTACTGAATTACTGGTAATACTTAATCACTAATAATTTTTCAATATTTTTTAATATGATTAGGTGCTTCTACATTATGTTCGTTGAATTGTGCTCACGTGTATTCTTCATGAGTCGACAGCAAGTTGACAGCAACATGACAACATGCCATCATATGCACATCATTCATATTTAAGCAATTGTTGTCGTCATGTTGCTGTCAACTTGCTGTCGACTCATGAAGAATACACGTGAGCACAATCCGACGAACATAATGTAGAAGCACCTTGTCCCTACTTTTTCAAAAACAGTTGCTTCAACGGTTCTCAGCAACTTGACGACAACTTCATAGACAGGTAGCTATCTGGGATGGTTATATATAATTAATTTTACTATAACATCACAAATACTGTTACAAGAATTATTTGTCATGTTTTCTCCATATAGAAGACATGTGACAATTGATATGGGGTGAGATGTCATATTTTTCCGATCTTGTTTACGACTGCATACTTTCTTTATACATTAATATAAATATGGTTTATATTTTTTTTTCTTGTACCTAAAGAATGTAGCTATATTACAATATACTCAACATTCTGAAATATTGTATATGCCGTTTTATTTTTATTAATATGTAAAAAGTGTGACAATTAGGCCCGGTCTCCCCTATACATGTGCATGCTCTGTAGCCATCTTC